GGGACCTCGGAATTCGATTCCGGGCATACGCCCAAGTCGCATATTTTCCTACGGACCCTCCGGGACCGTCAAATCACGGGTCCGGGTCCGTTTACCCAAAATGTTGACCAAGGTCAAATTTATTCATTTTGACATCAAAACTTAGCATTTTCCACAAAATTTCATATTTAAGCTTTCTGGCTACGCGCCCGGACTGTGCACGCAAATCGAGGCGACTCCAGATGAGATTTTCAAGGCCTCGGTGACACAAAATTCAATTAGAAACAGGTGATGACCCTTTGGGTCGTCACAAGAACTAAACAACCAATCCATACTATCAACCACCAACACACCACCAAGCCCCTGCACCAAATAACCAAGTGACAAGGCCAACTCCGACCCATATCAGTGCCAGCATGACCAGAACAACAGTAGTTGCAGCAGCAGCAGCGGACAGTACACACACCCAAGTTCCACCACAAGTGGAAGAGGAGGAAGAAGAGGGAGGAGCATCGACAACAAGACGAGTGGAATATGGCATGATAAGGGACCCAAAGACGTTGGTGTTCAAGGAGAGAAGCAAAAAAGGTTCATTTTATGCTGCCCACGGGATTTGAGGAAATTCTCGATCAATATACGAGAACTACTAAGTCCTCCAGCAATTTACAAGTACGGTATAGTGATGATACCAACACTGTATGTAAACCATTGGATGAACCAAGGCAGTAGGTTCTGGGAGAGGCCATCGCCACTAGCAAGCCCAAGCCAGGCATAAATGGAGATACCCCAAACCCTAAATAGATCAATGATAGTCATCATATGGAATTGTAGGAGTGCGGGAAATGACAAGTTTAGAATTATCTTTAGGTCCATGATAGACTATAACAAACCTTTTCTGGTAACTCTACTAGAAACAAAGCTAGCAGATCATCAAGCTATCGTTGATGAATTTGGATTCGCTAAAATGACTCAAGTCGTGGCACAAGGAAACTCCGGCAGCATGGTCATGATGTGGAATGAAGCAGAGGTGACGGTGGACCAAGTTGCAACTACTGATAAGGAAATTCACGCAATGGTTAAGGTAAAAGATTCTCCCCATTTATGGCTTTTAACAGTTATATATGCTTGTTGTTTAATAGAAGAGAAAAACATCCTATGGAATAACCTAAAAATAGTGGCAAACTCCTTTAAAGGACCTTAGCTAGTCACGGGGGATTTCAACAAAGTAAATAGCGCAAATGAAAAATTCGGACGCCTGCCTATAAATAACAATAGAGTTTTAAAATTCATAAAATGTTTAGATTACTGCGGACTCCTGGACCTAGGGTTGAAGGGCGCAAAATACACTTGGTCAAATAAGAGGAAAAAAATCAAAAACAAATACAATGGAGAGGTTAGACAGATATATGGCCAACTCGAATTGGATAAATCTGTTCCCAGAAGCCCACGTCACTCACCTTACTAGGGTATACTCGGATCATTTCCCTATCAATTTAGATTTGAAAAAGAAATGTCTTCCGTAACAACAAAGTCTTTAGAATCAAAATCCATGTGGCTCTCTCATCCCACGTTTAAACACCTAGTAAAGGATTCTTGAACAATCAAGACAACATACTTACGGCTATTGATAATTTCACAGATAGAGTAAAAGAATGGAATGTCAATACTTTTGAAAATATTTTTCACAAAAAAACATCATCCTATGAAGACTAAACGGGATCCAAAATTCTTCCAAGTATACCACTATCCAATTCCTATTGGATCTTAAAGCAAATCTACTAGAGGAATTTAATGGATTTTTAAAGTTAGAAGAAGAATTTTGGAAACTTAAATCAAGAATTCAATGGCTAAATGAGGGAGACGCTAATACTAAGTTCTTCCATATCACTACCGTGCAACGTAGACGAAAGATTAGAATTCTTAATCTTAGAGACGAAGGAGGGAACTGGTATTACGAACAAGAAGAGATTATCCCCATAATCACTGAATTTTTTCGAAAATTATTTACCACTAGACAAGACCTTTCACAGTTAATATATACCCCAATGTCCTATTACGCTACTCTAGATAGTAGTGACCAATTTGACCTAAGCCTTGATCCCTCTATAAGTGAAATCAAGAAAGCCCTCTACTTGTTCAAACCTTATAAAGCTTCGGGGCTGGACGGTCTCTACCCCTTCTTCTACCAAAACTTTTGGAATGAAACTAAGAATTACTTAATAGATTTTTCAAGAATTCTTTCAGTAGTACAAAAATGGTAGAAGAAATGAACAAAACCTACATTTGCTTAATCCCAAAATGTCAAAATGCTGAAACTATAAAGTAGTTTAGACCTATTATTATTTGTAACACCGCTTACAAGACTGTCACAATAATCATTGTTAATAGAATCAAACCCCTCCTACCAAAAATCATCCACCCCACTCAGACAAGCTTCTTCAAGGGGAGACGAGCCTTAGATAATGCTATCATCGTCAACGAGGTAATTAATTACTTTAAAAGGACTAAGGGAAAAAAAAGGGAAAATGATGATCAAAATAGATCTCGAAAAAGCTTTCGACAAAATAGAATGGTCCTTCGTTAGATTCTCATTGACTTCTCTAATCATGTCCTGCCACATCAACATCTATCATGATAAACGGCTTTAGTACAGACTTTCTTAGACCCACAAGGGGAATCAGACAGAGAGATCCCTTATCACCTTACCTCTTTATCATCTGCATGGGAATGTTATCCAGTCTCATCCATCACGAAATTGACTGCCATAAATGGGACACATTAAAATATCAAACAAAGAGCCCTACTTATCGCACCTTTTCTTCACGGACGACTTAATTCTACTGGCAGAGGCCAACCAAAAAAGTTGTAACTCAATAATAAATACACTTCATAGATTTTGCAACTACTACAGCCAAACTATCAATTTCCAAAAATCAAAGATAATTTCTCCAACAATACCACCCTGGAAAAGAAGGAAGACATTAGCCAATGCTTATCTATGAGATACTCTAAAGAAGTAGGAAAATACCTAGGATTCCCCATTATGAATTCAAATCCCTCAAAAAAAGACTTCTAATATATCATTGATCGCCTCAATAGTAGACTAAAAGGCTGGAAAATAAACCACTTAAATATAGCGGGTAGAACTCCCTTCATTAAGGCCACATTAGTAGTTATACCTAACCACGTTATGCAAATATTTAGCCTTCATAAAGCTACCCTAAAAAACATTGACACAATCTAAAGGAACTTCTTGTGGGGAAGCACCTCGGAAAAAAGAAAGTGCCACCTAATAAATTGGGACACTGTGACTAGGTCAAAGAAGGAGGGAGGATCGGGATCATACAAATCAAAATGGAAAAATAATTCTTTTAATGCAGCCCTATCATGGAGGTGCGTAAAGTAGAAGGACTCTCTTTGGGTTCGAGTCCTTTAAAGAAAGTATAATGACAATAAACACACTAATAAATGGAGCACTCTGGAAAAAAAGGGCTCTCACATTTGGAAAAACATAGTTACTGGTGGGGGGGGGGGGGGTAGGGGAGGGGAGGGAAGTTTGCGAAAGAGGTATTTAGTGAGAAGTGGGTAATGGGGAATTTATTAATATTTGTCAAGATGCCTGGATAAACAACTTAGCTCTCTTAAGGACTCTTATCCATGGCCCCCTAACAAATCATGAACAATACCTCCTCTAAAAAAATATTCTCAAGGGTGGCTCTTTTAATTTAAACAATCTCTCCTTCGAGCTCCCTGATAACATCTGCAAAAAAAAAAAATTGTACCTATGTAAAACAAATTCAACCAGCTACAGACAAGTACATATGGGTTAAGGGATCAAACGGGGATTTCACTACAAAAGCTGCATATCAAATCATCGCGAATCACACAGAGGCAGACGGAAATCCGGTAGACTATACTTGGCTGTGGAAGCTGGATATGCCTAACAAAATCAAAACATTTCTCTGGATAGTAGTCCATAATAGACTTCCAACATCAAGATTGCTCTTTAATAGGAAAATTATTGCTTCTAGTCTATGTAACATCTGCAGGTCTAAAGAAGAGGATCTAGAGCATATGTTCTTTAATTGTCTCCATTCAAAACCAATTTGGGATCAACTGGACAACTCTTACAAATACTCAAACCAACCCCACAATGACCTCACTATGAACAAATGGGTAAAACTACAATGCCAATTGAAATTCAAATTCAACAGATATATAGGAAAGGCTGACATCCTGCCCTTCATCCTCTGGCACATCTGGATACATAGAAACAATAAAATATTCAACCAAAAAAAAAAAAACCATTGCTATTAGAGCATATTGTCAACAGCACAATAGAATACAAATTGCTAACAACTTCAAAAAAGAAGCCATGCCCAAAGATGACTATCTACATAAAGTGGCAGCTACCCAACGCAGGATTATTCAAGTGAAACATTGATGGCTCAAGCATAGGCAATCCATGAAAAGGGGGGCATTGGTTAGAGAAGCGATAATAATTAGATCCCGGGCTTCAACATGTCTATACCCCATGCAACTAATATCTACATGGAAGGCCTAGCTCTCATGCATGGTCTAAGAATAGCTCTGCAAAAAATATCATGCCATTAGTAATTGAAACAGACTGCAATGATTTAATCAGCATGCTTACTAACAGCACCTGCCTATACCAATTTTTGATAAATGATTGCAGATGGATGCTAACTAGAATGGGGGTGCCTATGGTGACACACGTGTTCAGGGGAAGCAAATGGAGTCGCTGACCTCTTGGCCAAGAATGGAAGCAGCTCAAATGTTTTTGGAAATCCTATATTGTATTTTGTTTCGCCTTCTATTGTTGTTTCAACTTTTGTATTGGATAAGTTTGAAACTCTATGTCCTAGAATAGTCCCAGCTTATAATAACTCTTAAGTTTGATTGAATAAATGTCTTCGTTACCAAATAAAAAATAAAAGAAATTTGCAACAAAGCCTAACAAAACCAATGATAATTGGATAACATATGAATTTTGGTGGAACGCGACACGTTATTACCACGCCTAAGGAACCGGAGAAAAGGATTTTTTAAAAAAAGAAAGAAGAAAAAGAAAGAATCTAACGCGCTGAAGAGTTGCTTAAGTTTTACGCGGCAGATTTAACAAACTATTGAATTCTGCAAATCATCTTCTCAATTCAAACATTAGAAAAACGAAAAATGGAGGTAGAAGAAAATCCTCAATTGCAAACGCAACCTGAGTCATCGCCAATGGAAGTTGAACAAATAGATCGGAGGCCGGCGGCTCTCGGAGACCTTCGACTTCTTCCCGACGAAGTTTTGTGCGCTATACTGACTTTTCTCACTCCTCGCGATGTCGCTCGCCTTTCCTGTGTTAGCAGGTTTTTTCAATTCCTTTACTGTTTTTTTTCTGCAAAAAACTTAGTTTTGTGTATTTTTTTATGTTTTTGAATGTGGAATTTGTGATCGTATAGTTTGTAAATACGATGATTCACAATGACTTTTGGTTTGGAGCTCATTTCTGCTCATTATATGTAAATAGGAATGACGGTTCAGTTTCGAATTTGATTAAGCTTTAGTTTCAATTGCATCATTGCATGATTTATTGCTTCTTTTGACCTATAGGTGTTCAATTTTTATTTGATCTCTATGAATTAGTAGAATGTTGATCTTGTGTCCGTTTCTTCTTCTCATTTTCAGTTATTATTGGTCTATGGCAGATAGAAGCAGATAGTTTGCTCATTGTTTGCTTATTTCTGCCCGGGTGATCAAGTTGTTGGTGTGCCTGTGAGCATGTTGATTGGAATCTGATTAAATACTTAGAATATCTGCTTAAGATAGTATGGATGATAATGACAAAGTTACTACCTTTATTGATTGTGCCCTTATGCCTAGTAATCACTCGTAGAGTCAGTAGAGCCGAGCTTATTGATTGGACATGATTTCTTGAGATACAGCTCCTTATTCGAAGTGCTTTCAGTGCCTTCATTTTCTGATGTAAGCTTAAGGAAAAACTCAGTGCCACTTTATCCCGTACGTTTCTTAAATACTTACCATTTTGCAGTGTGATGTATATTCTATGCAATGAGGAGCCCCTATGGATGAGCATATGCCTTGATATTGCTAATCGCCAGCTTCAGTATAAAGGCTCCTGGAAAAGAACAGCCCTGGACCAGTATGGATATTCATAGGATTTTCCTCTGCAGTGTAGTTAACCTTCATATATTCTGTTTTCTGACAGTTCATTGTATTTTCCCTTTGGATGTAGATTGAATGTGACTTTTGAAAACAATGAATCCTGCCGGAAGCCGCTACACTTTGATGGTAATATATATGTGTATACATATGTTTCTATTGGTTTCTTGGATTTTCTACACAATGTACTAATGGGAGCTCAACTTGTGCAGGATTCAATTCTTTGTTCCTGTATCGTAGATTATACCGGTGCTATACATCATTGAATGGATTTTATTATGATACCGGAAACGTGGAAAGAGCGAAGAACCTTTCTATAGAAGAGTTTCATGACAAGTATGATGGACAGAAACCGGTATGGTGTTCGCTACCTAAAATTGTTTAACTCACATGGCGTGGTTGTTAGATTGTTGGTAATTTGTTGGATTATCTTTGTATCCACTACTTATATCGCATACAACTAGTGGTAAAGTTATGTTTTAGCTTGCATCATTTCATGCCATTTTACCTCCTTTCCGTTTAACATACTGCCTTTCTCAAATAATATGTCATATTTTCTGTTATTTTGAGTTATCCCACAGTTGTGTCTACTTTGCTTAAAGGGACACCTTTACTCTATTACCTTCAACAGATATCCAAGTATCAAAAATTACTGTAGTTGCCACTTGAAATCAGACTAAAATGTTCAAGTTCTTGCGAAGTTAGTTTTCTGTCACTTTTGGACCCACTTCTACTCAACTATTCTGGCATTTCAAGTGTTCCTTACTAGTTGTTCCCAAGTCAAAGTAGGGCACTTGAATAGATGAAGGAGAGCTTATTGTCTTGTAATAATTAGTTTTACAAGTGCATGTCAGAAAACAAGTTGTTTAGTGATTCTTCGTTGCCTCTTCTTCTTGTTGTTTTTTCCCGTCTTCATTACAATATTTTTTGCCTTTCATTTCCCTCCTTTTCTTTCTTATATATACACTGAATTCATCGTATTATACAGAGGATTCATATGGCTAGACTCCAGTTAGTATAGCTGATTGATGATATAGACTGGACCTTTCTCTTTAAATCTAGCTGGTTGCATTTTCTATCGTATGACCTATGTTGTTCATATGTATTCTTAAAAGGGGGCGAAAGGCAGGGGTTTAATTAGTCTGAACCTTTTTAGTGCTGACAGCTTATGTGCATGGTTTTCTTGATTGACAGCTCATGAGAGTATAGATTATCTTCTTCACCAAGCTTATTAGTTACACTATAACAGGTACTAATTGCTGGATTGGCTGACACTTGGCCTGCAAGCACTACATGGACTACGGAGGAGCTTTTGAAGAAATATGAAGATACAGCATTTAAATTATCTCAAAGAAGTCGTCACAAGATTAAGATGAAACTTAAGGACTATGTGTCATACATCAAACTTCAGCATGACGAGGATCCTCTTTACATTTTTGATGAGAAGGTTCCTTTACACTCCTGCTATTCTCTCTGTGCAGTTTCTCTCGTGACAGATTGTTCTAATTTGAATTGTGTTCTCTCAGTTCGGGGAAACTGCACCAGAATTGTTGAAGGATTACAGTGTTCCAAATATATTCAAAGAAGACTTCTTTGATGTGCTGGACAGGGATCAACGACCTCCTTTCAGATGGCTCATTATGGGACCGGAGAGGTCTGGTGCCTCTTGGCATGTTGATCCTGCCCTAACTAGTGCGTGGAATACACTTTTATGTGGTCGTAAAAGGTATATTATTGAGAACCAGTCTCTCTCTTTCCCAGTCATCTTGTCTCAGGGTCTTGCTGAATACTTCAGTTAGTGCATGTGTTCTTTAATAATTCCTGACCAATCAAACTCGTACTCATTATTGCCTACTTAGTTGATAATCTCCCTCACCAATCAATGAAGTTAAGGCAGAACGCATTGGAGATAATGCTGGTTTGCTCAGTTGTGGGTAGAGATAATGGGGTTGGTCAGAAAACAGCTGCCCTAGTGTTGATGAAAAAGAAATCAAAGATGGAATGCTGAGGCTTAAGTAGGAATTTTATTTAGAGAGTTTATACTTCTGAACGAGTTTTTTTAAGCTCTCTATGCCCTTCTGTCCTATAGGCATATCATACTTCTTGCATTTCATGGTAGGTTCGTGGGTGTAAGAGGCTGGCTTTGCTGAAAATTTGAGTTCGGTCAGTCTGTCACTTTTTTCCTTGAAGTTATTTCATGAAAAGTGCGCTTGAAAATAGCCAAATTCATATATTCTTAAAAGTTTTAACAAGGGAAAAAAGAGTTTGACTCGATGAATATCTTCCCATAGTTTTCCTGGATAGGCGTTAGTAAGTTAATGCATTACGAGTTTTTAGTGCTTTGCATTTATGATAGCTGGAAGCAGGGAATGAGCTAAAAAGAAGCTCAGCGAAGAAGTGGATGGTGACAAAAGACAGATTTTGGCTCTCAGCTGGGAGTTTATTGCCTATAAAACTAGATTGATGTTGTTTGCTCAAAAATCTCCAACGACAGAAATGGTTCTAAGTTGTCTACTTCTTGAGTTATGACTCTCCTTGTGCCCCCNNCCTTGTCCGACCCCCCCCCCCCCCCCAAACAAAAAAAGGGAAAGAAAAGAAAAAGCCAGAAGGCTTTAAATTTAAGGAGTAGATTTGAGTTTTTTTTTTTTTTTGTGATGAAATAAGGTGTTTCATTAGCAAAATGCACCAAGGAGATGCAAGTTACAAAAGTAATGAAATGCAGAAAAAAGAAAAAATAAGAATTATAGCTCCCTTTACAGTGTCAATCTAAGACCGGGGAGCTAACAAAGTCCAAAAATTAGTTAGTGCTAATTACAGAAGCTAATTTAGTCCAACAAAAAAGATTGAGTAGGCAATTAGCTTTGAGAGTGTGAATTGGAGTTGAGATTCCATCAAAACATCTTCTATTTCTTTCATTCCATAGACACCAAAAAATAGCACCGGGGATCATCAACCAGATTTTTTTTTGATGGTCTTGTCAACTCTCCATAGACTCCAGCTCAAGTGTGCCTCTTTCATATTCTGGCATGACCCAAATCAAGCCAAAAATGCAAAGGAACATATTCCAAAGGTCAAAAGCCACAGGCGCAATGCAAAAACAGGTGGTTGACAGTTTCTGCATCTCTCAGACATAGATAAGACATAGATAACACCTCTGTTGAGGTTGTTTTGAGTTAAGCAGGCCTCATTGAGGGCAATCCAGTTGTGGCAAATGACTTTGATAGGCAGTTTGGTTTTCCATATTAACTTCTAGGGCCATGCATCTAACACCTGGTTCTGGGAATCAGTTTGCCTGTAGCATTCTTTTACTGTGAAGGCGCCCTTGCTTCCCCAGCATATGGAATCTGGTTGGCTCGCATCAATATTGTACCCATCCACTTTTGCTAGCAAATCAAATAGGCTATCAATTTCCCAGTCTTGCACTGCTCTCCTAAAGTGAACATCCCAGTTGCTACCATTTCTGTTTTGAGCTATAGAGAAATTCTGGTGTAGAGCAATCTGATATAGGCTAGAAAACTCATCCATGAGTGAAGAGTTGTTTAGCCATTTATCTTTCCAGAATCTTATGTGAGCCCCATTGCCTGGTTTGAAGTGGATGCACCGGAAAAATTCACTCCCCAATTTACTGATGTACTTCCAAGGACCCACACCATAAGGTGCATTAGAACTTTTAGTGCTCCAGTTATCTCTTTTCCCATGCTTGGCAATGATCACTTCCTTCCATAGGCTTGATTCTCCCGTGCCAATTCTCCAAAGCCACTCCATTAATAGGCATTTATTATGGGTTGCTAGATCTCTAACTCCGAATCCTCCATTGCAATTTGGCTGAGTGACTTTGTCCCACTTTATCAGATGAAATTTGTGGGTGTTGCTATTTCCCTCCCATAGGAAGTTTCTCCTGATTCTATCCAATTGCTTTAGTACTTTCTTTGGAATGGGAAACAATGACATGAAGTATGTTGGTATGCTGTCAAGCACACTGTTGATGAGAGTTTTTTGGTGAAACAGAAATCTTTTATTCACAAATAAACAAGGCCTTTACAAAACTTCCCCTCGCTCTTCCATGTTTGCCTCTATACCTCTATTGTGTGTTTCTATATTTCCTACACTTCCTTCTCTATATTCCTATCCATATCTCTACAATTGATCTATCTATTCTCTTTCTTTTCTGCTACATTTTTTGTTTAACAGAGGAACTATTCTAATCTTACATTCTTGCTCCACTTGTGTACATATACTCTTCACTGTGGGAACCCGCTGGTTCCATAATGCTTCATTTCTTGCCCACCAAATTCTGTATATTAACGCTGCCACTATTGCTGTTGTGAATTCTCTGCATCTCTTCCCTTGTGTTCCCCTGATTATTCTCCTCCATATACCTTCAAGGTCAGTTTTTGTTGTTCTTTTTTTCATCCACTTTAGCAGCTCCTTCAGGCACTCCTCTGATAGTTTGCATTCAAAGAACAAGTGCTCCACTGTTTCCTTATGTCTTCCACATATCAAGCAATCACTATCTTGGCATAACTTTAACTTTTGCAGCCTCTCCTTTGTCAATAGCTTCCTGTGCATGGAAAGCCAGCTCATGAAGCTGTGTTTTGGCACATTCATCTGACCCCATACCCCTCGATACCATGGCTTAATCTCTACTTCACCTTTGTACCATTGGTATCCACTTTGTATTGTATATTTGTCCCCCTGTTTAAGCCAGCCATTGTTGACAAAACCAGCAGCAAATTTGTCTCTACATGCACACTTTCTTCCAATACCAACAGCTATCCACTGGTGGGACATACTGCCACCAATCCTGCTCTTTTATGTATACATGATTCACCCATTTCACCCACAGGTTATCCTCTGTATTTGCTATGTTCCAAACATATTTCACCATTGCTGCTTCATTCCATGCCATACAATCTTTTATCCCCAAACCACCCTGTTGCTTTGGTTTACATACTGTGTCCCATGCTACAAGTGCCATTTTTGTTGAATTCCCTTTCCCATCCCATAGGAAACTTCTGCAGATACTTGTTATACTTTTAAGTACCTTCTTGGCAAGGATGAATATTGAAGCCCAGTAAGAGTGGATATGCATCAATACTGAGTTGACAAGCATTACCCTGCCAACATCAATCTGTAGCTGAAAGCTTCCTGGCTGAGATTGGTACTCCCAAGTATTTAAATGGAAGGTCCCCCCTCTGGTAGCCAGTGAGCTCACAGATATCCTGAATGCATTCCTCCTCCATATTTGCACTGTAGATATATGATTTTGCTGCACTAGTATGTAGGCCTGATGCTCTTGAAAATGTTTCCAACCCTCTCAAGATCAATTCCACTGATTTCCATTCCCCTTTACAGAAGAAAAGCACATCATCTGCAAAACATAAGTGGTTGAGTTTGAGTTCTCTACATTTGGTGTGGAATTGAAATCCTTTCTGCTCAGCAATCCACTTCATTATTCTTGAGAGATTCCATACATATGACAAATAGTAAGGGTGAAACAGGGTCCCCTTGCCTCAATCCTCTTTTGCCCTTGATACTTCCATGCACATCTCCATTGACTGCAATTGTGTACTGTGTAGTTGTGATGCAAGCCATTATCCACTTTATAAACTTATGAGGGAAATTCAATGAATGCATCATTTCTTCCACAAACCCCCACTCCACAGTATCATATGCCTTTCTTAGGTCTACTTTGATCAAACAGCTCTTGGTTGTATTCTTCCTTTTGTACAATCTCACCAAGTCTTGGCAGATCAATATGTTATGAACAATACTCCTGCCTTCCACAAAGGCACTTTGATTAGGGGATATAAGCCCAGGTAGGACTTTCCTGAGCCTATTGCATAGCATTTTTGAAATCACCTTATAGATTGTGTTGCAACAAGCTATAGGTCTGTAATCTCCAACTGCTTCAGCATGAGGGCTTTTTGGTATGAGATTAATCATAGTGTTGTTGATGGCTTTGAGCATCTTGCCTTCTTTGAAAAATTCCAGCACTCCCTCTTTTACATCTGAACCTACTACTTCCCAGCAATCTTTGTAAAATTGGCTGCCAAATCCATCTGGACCTGGTGCTTTGTCACCTGCAATTGCCCATAGGGCATCCCTCACCTCTTTATCACTGAATGCTGCATTTAATTCAGTTCTCTGCTCCTCTTGCACAATTGGACCTTGTCTGATAATTTGACTATTAACATGATCTCTATCCTCCACACTCTTCCCAAGTAATTCTGTGTAGAATTCTATAAATGCCTCTGGGATCTTTTCTGGATCATCAATATCATGCCCCTTCATATCCTTTATGTGGAATATTCTGTTGTTGTTCCTCCTGGCTTTCAGAATACCATGAAAGTACTTGGTGTTCTGATCACCCTGGTTGAGCCAGTGTGCCTTAGCCTTCTGCTGCAAGAACATGAGTCTTGCCTTTGCCCATTTGCTGCTTTCCTCATTTAGTCTTACTTCTTCATTTATCAAGGCTTCATTCCTAGGGTCCTGCTGCACCTGACTTTGACATTGCTGCAGCCTATTCAATGCTTCCTCTGCCCTTTGTTCAATATTACTGACTCTCCTTGTTGATTTTCATCAGTGTGCTCTTGATTCTATGCATTTTCCCCACCAGTTGGTACATCTTTGTACCCCCCCTATCAGTGTTCCAGTTTGCTTTTATTCTTTCTTTAAAATCCCATGCCATACTCCACATGTTGAAGTACTTATATCTTCTCTTACTCTGCTGTCCCCCTCCATCCCAGTTTATTAAACCTGGTGAATGATCAAATAGTCCTGGTTGTAAGTAGTGTACCTCAGATGCTGGCAGTTGAGTCTGTCGTTCATAGTTTGTGAGGACTCTGTCAATCCTGCTCATTACTCTATCTCCCCCTGCTTGCTTATTGCTCCATGTATAGAATGCACCTGAAGATCTCATATCCTGCATAGAACAATCCTCCATACATTTCCTAAAATCTGTGATTTCTGCTAGTGTCACCCTGCTTCCTATTCTTTCTTCAGTACTCAGTATACAGTTGAAATCCCCCATAATAGCCCAGGGACCCCTATTCTGCTGGTGTATACTTCTAATATCCTCCCACATTTGCTTTCTCATGCTTTGGTTGTTGAACCCATACACTATGGTAACATTGAACTTGTTACCTGTCCCTTTGTGAGTAACCATACTATGAATAAGTTGTTCAGTAACATTTGTGATGTTAACATCATACACACCTGGTTTCCATACAACCCAAATCCTGCCTGTTGGATGTTTTACTAAGTTAGTAGTAAATGACCACCCTCCACATAGATTAAGAGCAGCTTGCTGTGCTTTTGCTCTCTTAATCTTAGTTTCCAGGAGACCAAACAGCCCAACTTTTTGGTTGTTCATAAACAGATTCATTTCTGTCTGCTTATGTGGCCTGTTCAGTCCCCTAGAATTCCAAAAACCTATTCTATCCATTGGATGAGGGGTTGCCCCCATCCTGCCCTTTTCCCAGGGCCATCTCACTCCCTTTTCTTTTTTCTGTTATAATCTCCTCCCCCTTCCTGCTGTTTTCTTCTGTGTTCTCCTGTTGTTGTTCACCTAATGTGGCAAAGGGATTCCCTGTTCTTATGTCCCCTTGTTGCTTCCTTTCCCATATTTTCCCTCTCACTATATTCTGCCAACTCCTTGATGTTGTTGCCACATCATTTGTTTTTGTGGCTCCTTCATTCCCCTTATTGCTTCTAGCTATCTGCCCCTGCTCCTGTTGTGCTACCTGCACATTTTTGCATTGCTCCTTACCCTCCTGCTTTTCCTTTTGTTGCTGATTCTCTATGCTTGGTTCATTACCAGTCTTCTTGCTAGCTTGTTTCTCTTTCTCCTCTTTGATGAATCTCCTGCATTTATTCATTTCATGCCCAAAATTCTTGCATTTCTCACACAAAGTTGGCTTCCATTCATAGAAAACCTCCTGCTCCACTATTCTGCCTTTTTCATCCTCAAACATGATAGTGTTAGGATAACTCTGGTGAGGTTTAACCTCCACCAAAACTCTTGCAAAAGTCAGCCTCTCCTTCTGTGTTGTAGCACGATCAGCCTTCAATGGTTTTCCTACTAGCCCTGCCAATTTTGTGAGTGCAGCTTGCCCCCAGTATTTAATATCCAATCCAATAAACCTAATCCACATTGGGATCAAGTCTACTGATTCTTTTTTCAAGTCTATATCAGGATTCCAAGGTTTTACCACCACTGGCTTTCTGTCGAACATCTGGACTCCATCTTCGATCACTTTGATTTTGCTTTCACAGCTATGGAATCTCACCACAAACACACCTCTATTAGCCTGTGCTACAATGTCAATGCCCAACGATCCCCAGATCCTTTGGAAATACCCTTCCATCACTGACTGGGGAGGATTAGAACCCAGTACAAAACATACCACTGTTGTGCTCCAGTAATCGATTTCCTCCTTTATATCCTCCATAGTAATCTTCACATTCGAGCTATTCTGGTGTTGAGGAGTTAGGTCCAATCCTTCATAAATTGGACTGGCTACAATTTTGCTCCATGACTTAGGGCGTGTTTCCCCTGCAACCTTTAGCTTTTCCGCTTCTTCCTCCTCCTTATCTGCCCATGAGTTGCGTTTCTCATCCTGTTTCTTCCCCCCATTGTTTCTAGCTACCGTTCCATTGGTAGGCGATTGGCTCAGGTCTAATGGCTGTATTCCTTGCAGTACATTGAGGCTTCGAGTTTTCTTAGCATCAGTTGATTGCGGAATTCCCCTTGTTTCGATCACATTACTTAGATTTGTCTCCTGTATGTTCAACCCTCCCCCTCTAGTCTTCGATTTCCTCGTCATTTTCAGCTATGGCTGAGAGAAAAGTTCATTCTAGAGAGAGAGAAAAGTTTGATGAGAGTTAATCTGCCACCCATGGATATATATTGAATCTGCCAGGAGGTTAGTCTCTTCTCAAATTTTTCAATGATCCCATTCCATACCTCACAGTTTTTGAACTTAGCACCCAATGGTAGGCCCAAGCATGTTGTAGGTAGAGTCCCAATGCTACAACCCATAATGCCTGCCAGCTCCTCCACATTAGGCACTTGATTGATAGGGTAAATTATGCTTTTCAGCACATTTACATGTAACCCTGACAGAGCTTCAAAGAGGAGAAGAGTGAGGTTCGGGTACATAACTTGCGATTTATCTGCCTCACAGAAGATCAAAGTATCATCAGCATATAACAGGTGAGAAACAGTGACTGAGTTCCCAATATTGGAGCCTACTTTGAATCCCTGAATCCACTGCATTTCTCTGGCTTTTTCAAGCATCTTGCTTAGTCCCTCCATGGCTAGAATGAATAGGAAAGGGGAGAGTGGGTCTCCCTGCCTGATCTCTCTTTGAGGGGAGAAGAAGCCCACTGGTTCCCTATTGACTAAAACTAAGTACTTCACTGTTGAGATGCTGAATCTGATCCGCCTTATCCATTTGTCTCCAAATCCCATCTTCCTCAGTATAGAGATTAGATAGGACCAGTTCAGTTTGTCAAAAGCCTTCTCTATGTCCAGCTTGCACATAATACCAGGATCCCCAGTTTTAATCCTCCAATCTAAAGTCTCATTAGCTATAAGTGCTGCATCTGTGATCCGTCTATGTTTGATGAAGGCATTCTGGTGACTGGACACAAGTTTACCAATAACCCTCTTCGGCCTTTTTGCTAGCAACTTGGCCACAATCTTATAAACACTTCCAATAAGGCTTATTGGCCTATAGTCTTTGAGCTCAATTGCCCCTTTCTTTTTAGGGATCAGGGCAATGAAAGAAGCATTGCATGATCTCACCATGTAACATTGCTGATGGAAATGGTTGAGAGCCCCCATCACCTCTGGTTTGATAAACTCCCAGGATTTTTGGAAAAAAGCCAATGTGAAGCCATCTGGACCTGGAGCTTTATCTGGGGCACATGAAAGAATAACATTATGCACTTCTTCTTCGTCAAAGGCTTTCTCTAGCATCTCCCTGTCTTCCCCTGAAAGTGTAGCAACTTCTTCAAAATTAGCTGTAGGTCTCCATCCCTCATTCTCTGTACAGGTTCTGATAGAAGCTCAGAATCTCTTCTTTGATTTTTGCCTTGTCTTCTATTAATTCATCATCCACCTGGAGCTTGTCGATATTGTTGAACCTTCTGTGAGAGTTGGCAATTGATTGGAAGTAATTTGTGTTCCTGTCACCCTCTTTTAGCCATTGACACCTTGATTTTTGTCTCCAAGATGTTTCTTCAGCTTTGGCTAGTTCCTCGAGCTCCACTTTTAAACTCCAGATTTTCTGCTTTTCAGATTGTACTGCGATTTTATTTTCTGTGATGTGTTCTAATGCAGCTAGTTCTTCCAATGCTTTGTTTCTCCTGACTTCCAGCTTGCCAAAGTTTTCCTTGTTCCAATTGGAGATGTCCTTTTTCAGATTCCTCATTTTCTGAGAGAGAATGAAATCCGGACTACCCCTTATCATGTAACTCTGCCACCAACCTTTCAACAGTAGATTTGAGTTTGTTTTATACCATGTAACTTACCTCATTTGGAACTTATGAAATATCTTGATGGCATTCTCATTTTACACTGCTCCAAGAATTATTCCTATACTGTAGTTTGGAACTAGTGGATTAATCACCATTGCGATGCTTATCGGGGGATAGAAAGGTCATTGTTCATTTTTATTATGCAGGTGGGCACTTTATCCTCCTGGGAGAGTACCTTTAGGAGTGACAGTTCATGTAAATGAAGAAGATGGTGATGTCAGTATTGACACTCCATCATCTTTGCAGGTATTAAATTTTTTTTAGATGCAAATAATTTGCTTCCACTTTGCCTAATGTTGTGATGGTTTTTAATTTGTTTGAGCCATGTTATGTGATTTTTCTCTCCTGTCCACCCAGTGGTGGCTGGACTTTTACCCTCTTCTCGCTGAGGAGGACAAGCCGATAGAATGTACTCAACTGCCTGGGGAAACAATATTTGTCCCTAGTGGATGGTGGCATTGCGTGCTAAATTTGGAGACTACTGTTGCTGTGACACAGAATTTTGTGAACACCAAGAACTTTGAATTTGTGTGTCTGGATATGGCTCCTGGTTATAGGCATAAAGGAGTTTGCCGTGCTGGGCTTCTTGCTTTGGATGATATCAGTATTGAGGATGTCAGGAAAAATGTGTTGTCCTTGGATAACAGTTTGAGCTGCTCTGACCTGTCAAGGAAAGAGAAGAGGATTAGAGTTGACCAACCTGCTAAAGGTTCAGAAAATGGAAGTACTATAGATGGTGATTTGGGAGAGGTGGAATTTTCTTATGACATAAATTTCTTAGCTATGTTTCTGGATAAAGAGCGGGATCACTACACTTCGTTATGGAGCTCGAGCAACTCTATTGGGCAGCGAGAAATGAGAGAGTGGTTATCGAAGCTTTGGGTTGGAAAACCAGGGATTAGAGACCTTATATGGAAGGTATTTATATATTCCATTCTTTGTTTGTTTATGGTTAGTTTTGGTCTTCTTTTCTTTTCTTTTCTTTTTTTTTTTTTTTTTTGGGGGGGGGGGGGCGCAGTCAATATTACTATTCTAAAGTATACTAGAAGCTTTCGTGGAAAATGTCAATTGTGGCTAGGGAATAGAAAATTATCATTATATGTCTCTCCGTTTGTTATTTGTATTGGACCATGAAATAAGATACTAATTTGAAGAGTTTATATATACCTAAGTTGCTGCATAGCAGGAACCTTGACCTTGTTCAGCTGCACAGCTGATCTCACGTAGTCACATGTTATGTATACTGTGCACAATGAGGTGTTAGATTAATAATTGTCATCTGTCATCAGGGTGACTTTTATGTAATTTAAGCTTCTGTTATCACTTCTGACTACCTTAGAATTACTTTTGCTAGGGAGCCTGTCTGGCGCTGAATGCTGATAGATGGTACACATATGTGGCGGAAATTTGTACCTCCCATGGGTTGCCGTTGCCAACTGATGATGAGAGGCTTCCTGTTGGAACAGGCAGCAATCCAGTAAGTTTTCGTGCTTCGCGGATCTTCGACTGTTATGCTTATTTCTTAGTGTCACTTTTTTCTCTAGACTGAAGTTGAAGGGAACTTTTAGTTATTCTTGGACCCTGACATTATAACATTTGTGATAATGTTGAGGGTTTAAAACATCAATACTCAAGTAGGCTGTTCTCATCTCAATGAGTTAATGCTGAAGTTGAGATGTCTTACGAAAGAGTGGAAGATCAATCATTCTTACAAAGATGTAGTATCATCATTAACCTAACAAGTGGTAATACTTGTGTACAGGTTTATCTAGCTGGGGACAATGTTATAAAAATATTTGTTGAAGAGGGATTAGAAGCTTGTCTTCATTCTTTGGGCACTGAGGTAGATCTGTTGTTCTGGCAGTTTTTTTTTTTCCTTCTATTTCTTTGTACTATTATTGATTCAGTTATGGTTTGATCTTTTGCAGCTTGAGTTTTACAGTCTACTCCAGAAAATAAACTCCCCTCTGAAGAATCACAGTCCTAATGTTTTGGCCAGTGGGATTCTTTATATTGAAAATGGATTGTATAAAGTTCAACATTGGGATGGCAAAGGAGTTCCGGAGGTGGTTGCTAACATTACTCCCCTTGTGGAACTTGAGCAAGTTGATTATCCATTTGGTCTGTGGAGTAAAAGGCAGTTTGATTTCAAAAAAGCTGGGATGTCATTACCCGAACTAGTAAGCGCTGGCAGCGGCTCAACAATATGGCCATATGTCATAACACAGAGATGCAAAGGAAAAATATATGCTCAAATGTTAGTGAGATCCATTTCTATTTTAATAGATGTCTATAACTGACTGTATCATTCATTTGAAGTACTTTCAGTTGTTATTTTGAAGCACTGCTCCTCCTTTTCATTTGATTTGCTCTTGCTAGCAGAAGAGATTCCATCTCATGGGAAGATACTGTAAATTTGGCCTCCTTCCTGGGAGAACAAATGCGCAACCTTCATCTTGTGCCATGCCCAGCTTTGAATGATTCGATATATTCGGAAGCCCAGCAGAAAGTACTCCTCAATGCTAATGGGTATCTGGAGGATGATGAGGACAAGATTTGTGCTCCTGGAGAGTGGAATTTGTTTCTGAGAACTCTGAACAGGAGAAAGAAGGATGTTTGTAACCGCTTGACCAAATGGTAAACCTTTAATACCGAATACTTTGTTGATCATAAAGCAGCTTTAAAGTCTCAGTATTATGTAGTGAATCTTCTCTTATTACCTTGCTTCTACTCACCTGGTTTTGACTTTGACAGTGATATTTGACATCATGATCTTCGTTTATTCTCCTAGATACAAACGCCATAGATAATAAAACTGTTGGTCTAATTCCTCTCTATTATTTTATAGAATTCTTGGGTTGGTTAGTGTTGCATTAATGTAACAACTATGTCAGGGACAATACGAATGTTTCTTTTTTGATTCTTAATTGTCTCTTCATTTGGTATCAGATCAGCGATACGTGTTATTCTATTAAACTAAAGCCTTTCTCTGGACTATTGCCTACCACGACTTACCACTAGTTTCTTCAAAATGGTACTTGGGGCCCTCTTCTTTTCCAAATAATGCTACAAATCTCTGAAGTCAAATTTTCTCTATTATTTGACTAATTTTGATTTAAATATAATAAAGTTCCAACTCTACTTTTAATAAACAAAGACACATATATAAAATGCATTTCAATTTTTAGTTTAATAGTTGTGAATTTCGTTTATAAAGAAATGTAGTTTTGAAATTTCACGAGACACCTACATTAGGGAAAAAAAGATATTCTTATAAAGTTATTTCTTCAATTGAAAAGTTAAAATCCGTAATGACTTCTTTACTACTTATATATTGCATAATTAATATGGTAGAAGAGGCATGTTATCCTAGCTTAACTCTCTTGTTCACCACATGAAAGACAATTATGTTCAGTTATTATATTTAGGCAAGGACTTCTTGTTAACCTCTGTGTTTTGGGTGTGGTGCTTGTTTTCTACTGGATTAATGTTTTAACTTTTTTGTTCACTTCATCAAAGGTAATGTACGTCAGTTATTTGTGCCTTTTTTGAAAAAAATCTATTCAGACAGATTTGCGTGTTAATCTCTGTATGTGTTAATTCTTTATCAAAAAATAATCTCTGTATGTTGGGTATTATGATGCCTGCTTTCTGCTCTATTACTCTTTTGCAGTGTGACACCTATATGTGACCTTTTCCCTGTACATTTAGATATGCTGGCACAAGCACTGTGAATTTGAGCTTCTAATGCAGAAGTTGGATCTGAGTCTTTTGTTGTTTCAATCTGTAGGGGTGATCCGATTCCCGGAGAACTGATTGAGAAAGTTGAGGAATACATCCCTGATGACCTTGGAAAGGTTCTTATATTTAATAATGAAGTGATTCATTGGACTTCCTTCAGTCTGCTAGACATTTTATTGTTTCTTTTGTCATGCATTTCTCTGACTTCTTGTTTATTGTCTCCTTTTTAAGGTTGACATGGGATCCAGATCTTGTACCTGGATACACTCCGATGTAATGGATGACAATATCCACATGGAACCATGTTCTGTTGCTTCTCGCTTTGCAGGGACTATTGATGATCCTGAGTTGATGGACAATGTTTATGCTAATGGATCTGATTTGGGTGAGCCTGGACATGCATGGCGTCCTACTCATATACTTGATTTCAGTGATCTTTCAGTTGGTGAGTTATTAAGCAACTTTGACCTTGCTTTTTCGGGCTTGGTCTGCTGATAGTTTCATATTTCTTTTCCCGATGAACGAACCATGTTCTTATACGGACTCTACTAGGCTTCTGCTGCTTGGCCCTAGATTATGTATAATTTGGAGAAGTTACGGTATGTCTAAGATAGTAACTTTTTAATGCTTGCTTGTATCAAATGAATCTGGTAAAGTTTATGAGCATATTAGATGAATATCAATGATTATAATAGCAGAAAAAGAGAAAAATAAGAAAAGAAAAAGGGAATAGATATGGAACTGATTGGAATTTGGCACCAGCTTCAGAGGCAGGCTTTGCCTAGTTTAAACAGAACAATTTTTTTAGAGTCAGAGTAATTCTAAGACACAGTTAGATTCTGCCCTCCTTACAATGTGCAGATTAGGTTTACTTATTTTAACATGTGAGCTAATCAATAAGATATCTAAGGTCCATTTTAGAAAAAGGCTTTAACTTTTTTAAGTGGTTTCGCATACTTTTGACAAGAGTAGCTTTTTGGTTGATATTAATTGGCACAGAGAGTCTTGCGTGAAAATATTATACCTGCCATTACTTAACTTTAACTAGATCAGTCTAAAGTTAGCACTGTAAATCTTGCATCACTAAAAACTTAAGATGTGGAAGGTTATAAAATGTTCATTGATTTGATTTTAGTTTTAAACATTTGAGTTTCTGTGATCAGTAACCCAGTTCTTTTCTCAGGGGACCCGATTTCTGACTTAATCCCGATATACCTGGATGTCTTTAGAGGAGATCCACGTTTACTGAAGCAGTTTTTGGATAGCTATAAACTTCCATTTGTTAAAAGAGGACTTAATGCATCAGCTGAAAGCAACAGATTTCAGAGACTTTCTTACCGAGCCATGTGAGTACATATGGTCTGACGTTGTCATATTTCTTCTATGTTGTCCTCGTGTGTTTCCCATGAGATAATTGGAGGCCTTTTGTTCTTCAAAGTCTAAATTTCACCAATAGAGCTAATATAATACCTGACCTTATGAAGATAGTAACGCGTGCTTCGATTATGTGGCAACAGTCTTATAATCCATGACCCTCGTCATTCACCAAATCGAGGCATCATTTGTCATTTTTAGAATTGTTGATTTCCACCGATATGATACTCTCATCAATCAGACCCCTCGATCACTTTCAAACTCGAGTCATTATATACTGCCTTACTGTTTAACATGCGGAGGAGTTGCTGAATACTGTAGGAGTTTAAACTTGAGATTGTTAAGTTGAGGAGGTTTTAGTAGATAACTAGAACTAGAGACCGAATGTTCTATGTGATAGCCAACATGAGCACTGTAGATGAAGATAGAGTAGATTGGAGCGTCGTACTCCTTTTGCCATGAAATATGCTTGAAACTCACCTTAAATGACTTTCGTCGATACAGGTGCTACTGTATTTTGCATGATGAAAATGTTCTCGGAGCTATTTTCGGTACTTGGAAGGAACTAAGGAAGGCAAAATCATGGGAAGAAGTCGAGGAAGCTGTATGGGGAGATCTTAACGGTTATACGGGCTCCTGTTAAACTTCCTTTTTGTTCTTTTTAATTTAGTCTGTCACGCCCCTGGTAAAAGTTCTATTGCTGTATGTTGAATAAGTCCAGTCGCTTGTACACTCACCAACATTTGTTTGAGTTTATTTGTTGATTTTTTTCATCTTAACTTCTGATCATATCGTTAACATTTTAATAAAATTTATCATGTACGATAAAACCTAAAAACAATGATTGTGGAATTACTCCGGTGGATAGCAACGTTTCCTGATTTTAGTAATTTTACCGCTTTCCTTTAAGCTAAAGCCACAGAGAACGTCTTGCCTGAGTTTGTTCTGATGTTCTTCTATACATTTGGCATGCATATTGTTACGCGGCGCCTTCCTGAGATTCCTTGGAAGGGCGACGTAAGGCTAGGCAACTGATGTTAGTGCAGTTGTTGTCCGCCAACTGAGGTCCCCTCCGTACGCTAGACGAGATTGTCAGTGCCGTACGGGAAAACTAATGTCAAGAGCAATTGAGAGAACAGAAATGAGAATTCAAAATGAAAGAAAGCTTGATTGCATTAATGAAAGCTATTACAGAAAAGCAACGTGGTGTCGAGGGGGAGAGACACCAGTACAGAGAATTGCTTGCTTGATAGAAAGTTTTGATTGCTTGATCCCCCCTAATAGTACTTAAAGAAAATAATCCAAAGTTACAAGACTAGACTTGATTAAGCTAGAGAAACATAATGGAAGTACATGAAATAAAACTACTCTATATTTACAATGAAAATGACTTAGTTTCCTATAAGGCAGCAGCAGGTCCGTTGTCAGCAGCAGTGTCTTTGGCATCACGGTCTGCGCGCGCGGCGCTGTTGGCTTCTGCCTACGGCTTGGCGCTCGCGAGGGATATTGGTGGGGCGACAGAGGCACCTGCGCGCTTGTTACTTGGCGCGGCCAAGACCACGGGGCCGTCCTTGGCGCTAGGCATTGGGAGGTTCGCTAGGACGCCACGGGGCGCGCCCAAGGGGTCATGGGGCATGGCTGGAAAGCCGCCCATGACATTCTCCCCCACCTGAGTTGGCGACGTCCTCGGCGCCTTACTTGCAAAATAATCTTCAATGAGGCTCTTGTAGGCTTTGAGGTTTGTTCCCCTCTCCCAAGTATTCTCTTCTGCATCACAGCCCTGCCATTTCACCAAAAACTCTTGGTGATATTTCCTTGAGGCATGAATCACTCTGTCATCAAGGATAGCTTCAACACGCCTTTTCCCGGTTGAATTGGGACCTCGAATACTGGGTATTGTGAGCTGGCTCCTTGAAGGATCCTCCGTGTCTTCCCGAAAAGGTTTCAGGAGACTGACATGGAAGACAGGATGAATTTTCCACCAAGCTGGGGTATCCACCCGGTATGCAACCTTCCCAATACGCTTTTCAATGGACAAGGGTCCAATGTATTTTTGCAATAGGCGAGGGTCATGGACCCCTGCAAATAAGTACCGCTTTGGAATTTTGACCATCACTTTGTCTCCTACTTGATATTCAACAAAGCGACGATTCTGATCAGCATGCCTCTTCATCCGCTTTTGGGCTTTGACAAGGTAGCTCCGCACTATCTCCAAATTCCGCCTCCACTCTTTTGAGAAGCTGGCAGCTCGAGGAGATTTAGCCATGTTTGGTGCATTCACAGTGTGTGGGAGTAGCGGTTGCTGTCCGGTAACAATTTCAAAAGCGCTTTTGTTGGTACTAGAGCTCTTTTGTGAATTGAAACACAGTTGAGCAGCATCCAGAAGCTTCACCCAATTCTTCTGCGATCCGGTTACAAAGTGGCGGAGATATTCCTCCAACATACCATTGAACCGCTCCGTCTGGCCATCAGATTGCGGATGAAAACTTGAGCTGTGACTCAATTTTGACCCAAGGCACTTGAAGAGTTGGGTCCAAAAGTTGCTAGTGAAGCGTGAGTCGCGGTCACTAACAATGTCTTTGGGCAGGCCCCAATATTTGACGACATGAGAGAAGAAGAGTCGAGCTGTATCTTCTGCTGATATATATTGTGGGGCTGCAATAAAGGTGGCATACTTGGAAAACCGGTCCACCACAACCAAGATGGTTGTGAGATCTCCGACCTTGGGCAATCCGGTGATGAAATCCAGGGAAACGCTTTCCCAAGGTCTCTTTGGGACAGCGAGTGGTTCCAAGAGTCCCGCTTGTGTCAAGCGGTCCGACTTGTCCTTCTGGCATACTAGACAAGTCTTCACATACTGAGCGACATCATCGGCCATTTGAGGCCAATAATAGGCACGACGAAGTAACGCCATGGTGCGTTCTTCACCGGGATGGCCGGCCCACAGAGTATCATGACATTCCGCTAGAAGAGTCCTCCGCAAATCTCCTCCTTTAGGAACATAAAGTCGGTTCCCTTTTACTTTCAGAAAACCATCTTCCATGTAGAACTGGCGAGTCTTGCCCTGTCCTACCAAATCAACCAAATACTGAGCAGCAGGATCCTTGATGAGTAGATCCCGTATTTGGTCCTTGATGGATGTGGCTACTTCGCTCCCCCTTAGGGTGGCGAGTAGGCACACCGATGCTAGATCAGCTCTCCGACTGAGCGCATCAGCAACATGATTGGTCTTTCCACTGCGATACTCCAAGTTGAAGTGGAATTCAGCTAGGAGTTCCTGCCACCTGGCCTGTCGACCGTTCAGCTTCGGCTGGGTCATGAAATGGCTAACAGCTGTGTTGTCTGTCTTGACCACGAACGGGGTTCCCAGCAGATAGTGCCTCCAGAGGCGCAAGCAGTGGACGACAGCCAATAATTCTTTCTCATGGGCGGCATAGCGCCGCTCTGCATCCTTCAGCTTCCGACTCTCGTACGCTACAGGGTGCCCTTCTTGTAGCAGGACTCCGCCGAGTGCATAGTCAGAAGCATCTGTTTGTACCTCGAACGGCTTGGCCAAATCAGGAAGGGCCAAGACGGGACTACTAGACATAGCCGCTTTTAATGCGTTGAAGGCCTCTGCTCTCCTTGGTCCCCAATCCCAAGGTGTGACCTTTTTGAGGAGTTCTGTCAATGGCACTGCGATAAGTGAGTAGTTCTTCACAAACCGCCGGTAGAAGTTGCATAGGCCAAGGAACGCCCTCAAGGCGTGGACATCCTTAGGTGTCGGCCAATCTGTGATGGCCTGGATTTTCTGTTGGTCCATCTTGATGCGTCCTTCCTCGATGACATGTCCGAGGAAATCAATTTGCTTCTGAGCAAAGGAGCACTTGGATAACTTTGCATATAGTTCATGTTCCCGCAACCGAGCTAGGACCTTCCGCAAGTGTACTAGGTGTTCTTCCAATGTCTGGCTATATACCACAATGTCATCTAAGTAGACCACCACAAATTCGTCGATGTACTCTCGGAAGACTTGGTTCATGAGAGTGCAAAACGTAGCAGGGGCGTTGGTCAAGCCGAATGGCATGACCAGGAAGTCGTACGACCCATATCTTGTCACACAAGTCGTCTTGTGTTCATCACCCTCTGCAATCCGAACTTGCCAATAACCTGTCTTCAGATCTATCTTGGTGAACACCGTAGCACCACCCAGTCTATCAAACAAGTCCGCCATTAGGGGAATAGGGTACTTGTTCTTCACGGTGATTTTGTTTAGAGCTCGATAATCCACACAGAGTCGCAGGCTGCCATCATGTTTCTTTTGGAATAGAACAGGGGACCCATATGGGGACTTGGAGGGTACAATGATCCCTGTATCTAGCATTTCCGTCAATTGTCTCCGAAGCTCGGTGAGTTCGGGTTGTGACATTCTGTAAGGCGCCCGGGCAGGTGGCTTCGCGCCCGGCACCAACTCAATTTCATGGTCCACAGTGCGCCTAGGCGGGAGCCGCTTTGGCATGTCTTGTGGCATGACATCTTCAAACTCCAGTAGTAACTCCTTCACGGGTTCAGGAATGGGACCCGAGGAGCGTTCTATATCTTCAATGCAGAGGGTTGCCAGGAACGTAGGTTCATTCTTTTTGACCCCCTTCTTCAACTGCAAGGCCGAGATGTTCTCAACGGCCATCTTCATGGGCAGGCACGGGATAATGCAGGGCTTGGCCCTATTGGTACCCATCATCAGTAGCATGTCTGCAAATGGTACAGGCATGGTGTTGGTTTGCCTTAGGAATTCCAGCCCAACAATCAACTCGAAGTCATCTATGATCACCACTCGCAGGTTGAATTTTCCTTAGTAAGGCCCAAGCTTCACCGGTACTTCTTTAGCTATTCCACCCACTGGCTGGGGAGGTGAGTTGATAGCCTTGACGCTACCTTTACCTTTCCCTACAACTAGTCCAAGGCGCTCCACCTGAGTCGAGGCTAAGTAGTTGTAGGTAGCACCCGTGTCTATCATAGCCCGAATGGGCTTGCCATTCACCTTCATCTCGACGAACATTAAGGTCCTCTCTTGTTTAAGAGGAGTCTCTTCATTCGCCTTCTTTTTCCCTTTCCTGGAGACGGGACATGAGTCATTCTTCTTACGAATACCAGCACTGGTCTCCGCTAGTGCCTCAGAAATGGAACTCACAATTGCATTGAAGGCACCTACTGGTTCAGTCTGGTCCGCATCGTCTGAGTCGTCATCAGTCCCATCATCAATAGCCTGATGGGCATTCATCTGTGCATGTGGGCACTCATTGTTCCAATGTGGACCGCCGCAATGACGGCATCCTGAAGGAGGCTTTCTCGCCCGATCATTGTTGTTTGACGCAGCACTGTTGCTGCCGGAGGAAGGAGCTCTAGATTTGTTTGAGTTCCGATCTCCCCCATTTTTGCTAGGACCACCACCGCTAGGCTGGCCCCCTTTGAACCCTGCTCGGGCAGGCGGCTGAGGCCTGTCCCTTCGAGCTTCCATTTGATAGTCCCCAAGGCATTCAGCTGCTTGGATTGCCTTGGGAAGGGAATCTACCCTTTGTCTCTGTAGCTCCACGCGGGCATAAGGTTTCAACCCTTCCATGAAGGTGAAGAGTTTGTCCTTATCCCCCATGTCGCGTATGCTGAACATGAGTGCGGAGAATTCTCGCACGTAGTCCCGCACTGATTTTGTCTGGCGGAGTTCCCGTAGTTTTCTCCTTGCATTATATTCAACATTCTCGGGGAAGAACTGCAGACGTATAGCTGCCTTCAGTTCGGCCCATGTCTCGAGAGCATCTTCACCGGCCTTGATGGCTTCGTACTTCACACGCCACCAGAGTTTAGCATCACCCTGAAGATACATGGCAGCAGTTGCTACCTTCTTAGCTTCCTCCAGATCCCCAACAGCATCGAAATACTGTTCGACGTCAAAGATGAAGTTTTCCACTTCCTTGGCATTCCTAGCTCCACTGTATGGCTTTGGCTCAGGAATTTTCAGTTTCTTTGTCGCGGAAGCGGAGTTCACAGCACCTCCGATTTGGTTTCCACCTCCTCGGAGTAGGCCCTGTAAAGCAGCGTTGACAATATTGAGTTGGTCTGTCAATTTGTCAATGGTTTGTTGCATGGCAGTCACCTTTTCTGCCTCTTGTGCCCTGTGGGCTAAATCCTCGGTGCGCTCCTGTTGGAGCCCCTCGAATTTCTCAAAGATTTCGGCTGCCTCTGTGGCTGCCGTCTGCCGGTCTCCCTCGGAGTCGCGACTGATGTTTTCAACGTCAACTTCGACCTGAAGCACCCTGCGGTCCAGGTCGTCCAACCTTTGCAGTAGGCTGATTCTTAGTTCAGGCACCGTATCCACAATAGGCCGCAATACCTCAACCGTCCTTTCGAGGGTCGCAATGCGGTCCCCATGATTTACCATGGTCAGAAATGGTGGTATGTCAATACGTTCCCTCGTCCGATGTCGAGCCTAGGCTCTGATACCAACTGTTACGCGGCGCCTTCCTGAGATTCCTTGGAAGGGCGACGTAAGGCTAGGCAACTGATGTCAGTGCAGTTGCTGTCCGCCAACTGAGGTCCCCTCCGTACGCTAGACGAGATTGTCAGTGCCGTACGGAAAAACCAATGTCAAGAGCAATTGAGAGAACAGAAATGAGAATTCAGAATGAAAGAAAGCTTGATTGCATTAATGAAAGCTATTACAGAAAAGCAACGCGGTGTCGAGGGGGAGAGACACCAGTACAGAGAATTGCTTGCTTGCTAGAAAGTTTTGATTGCTTGATCCCCCCTAATAGTACTTAAAAAAATTTATCCAAAGTTACAAGACTAGACTTGATTAAGCTAGAGAAACATAATGGAAGTACATGAAATAAAACTACTCTATATTTACGATGAAAATGACTTAGTTTTCTATAAGGCAGCAGCAGGTCCGTTGTCAGCAGCAGTGTCTTTGGCATCACGGTCTGCCCGCGCGGTGTTGTCTGCGCGCGCGGCGCTGTTGGCTTCTGCCTGCGGCTTGGCGCTCGCGAGGGATATCGGTGGGGCGACAGAGGCACCTGCGCGCTTGTCACTTGGCGCGGCCAAGACCACGGGTCCATCCGTGGCGCTAGGCATTGGGAGGTTTGCTAGGACGCCACGTGGCGCGCCCAAGGGGTCATGGGGCATGGCTGGAAAGCCGCCCATGACAATATACTTGAACATTGTCGTTCTCTGAAGATAACCTGTATATATGCAAAGATATTGAGTTCCCGTCTTATGCTACCTACAAACGGAATATTGTTGAAAAATCGTTGTATGGGACAAATTTAGTACGAAAACAATGTTGTCTTGGCATATTCAATGGACACAATGCTATTTATAAAGGTCAGAGATTTCGCCACTAAAACTCAACATTGACAAAAAAAAAACATCTAATTCCAAATTCAGACAATTCACAGTTCGATGCGCCTTGTGAGCTTCTAAAAACTAGAAAATAAATATGACCTTTTAACAGTTGAGTTAGGCAGATTAAAATATAATGCAAATTTAGAGAAAATTGTTGAACGTTGTTGCCAACACCAATTTATAGTACTATACCTTTAACACTTGACTTAGACCGGATTAACTTTCATGCAGTCAATATAATGCAAATTTAGAGAATATTGTTGAATGTTCTTGCCAACACCAATTTATAGTACTCTTATTTTCATCTTAAAGATTGCTTATTGCAGTCAAACCTCTCTATAACAATCTCGTTTGTTCTTATATTTTTTGGCTTTTATAGTAAATGGATGTTATACACCTATAACAGCTGACGTTAAAATATTTTTTAGCTGTTATAGATAAAAATTATTCAAAAATCAATTATTTTTTCTTTTTAATGTTACTAAAAGATAAGAAAATCATTCAATATTTAAATCTCAAAAGATATGCATATTTCACTAGTTAAATATTGAAGAAAGCTAATACATTATTAGTAAATTCATTACTAAACATATACATATTTAAACTCTAAGGAGGACGTTTTAAAGCTGCCTACAAAAATAAATTCTTTCAAGATTGATGGAAGAACTTTGTAATTGTAGCTTGTTTCGTAGATTTTATTCTCTTACTAATATAACACTTGAATTGGCGAACGATTGTGTCCAAATTTTCAGCAAAAAAGTATCCAATAGCTTTTCCTTGAAGACAATCTAAGAGCTTAATAGTTAAATTTTCTATCTAAATATTTTTTGAAATTTGTCCAACGAAAAAAATATCATGTGCAAATCTTCAAATCTTATACATTATGCAAGATAGAACTTTGTTTAGTGGAATAGATTGTGTGCATATTTTTAGAATTATTAGTAATATTAAAGATTCTATATGGCTATTATAGAGGAATAATTTTACAAAGAGCGTTCTACTATAAATATGATTGTTGCTATTATAAGGGTAAAATATAACTTAAAAATTAATTCCGAGAAAAACTTGACTTTTGTAGTAAATTTACTGTTATATTAGAATGATGTTATAGAGAAATTTGACTGTACTCCATATATTTTGGTTCCAAAAGTTAACGTTTTTCTGAAACCTTCTCTTTTTTCTCTTCTACATCTGTTATTTTCGCTTATCGTACAACTTATCTAGTGCCGAGAAACTTCCTAAAATTCTACTAGGCCAAGGCTCCAGAAGTAGTAAACACATTTTTACCAAGTTAAAAATATAAGCTATCAGAGATTTACTGGGTGAACTCTGAGTCTGAGAGTCAGTTCCGAAAAATACAGCACATTACACATTAGTTTCTCTTTTCACCCTTTTGGTAATTATACTATTGTATACATTCATCACAATTGACCAACAAAATCACCACTATTTTCAATTAAATCTTCAATATCAGCTTCATCTAATTCATCAAGTTCCATACTGCCCCAGAAAGAATTTGTTCCACCCTTTGATACCTGCAAAGGAACTTTAGCCTCTTGTATTATTGCCAGAACTTCTTCCATACTTTGGGAGGGGTTATTTACATCGACGCATTGGTAACTTCCTCCTTCCATCAGTTCCACTGGCAAGTTCTTCAAAAACCACGGATGCTTTGTAATTTCCGGAATGGTTATTCTCTACAAAAAGAATCAGCAAATCACCACCAATATCATATTATGGTTTAGGCACATCCGCAATAGTGAGGTGCGCTATTCGTTCTTACTAATCATGAAACACAAGTGCAATTTTATGGAAGGAAGAATAAGGGAGGGCCTTTGGTGGGATTGAACCTTTTGTCTAAGTAGAGTATATCGAGTCAATGAGGTAATTTCTGGACACAATACATGAACTACTCTGTGATCCACATCTTTATTAGAGGAATTGATGATTTATTACCTTTTCAGGGTCTGCCACAAAAATCCTGGATAAAAGATGGCGGCATTCAAGGGAAATTTGGACTTGTTCGGGAATTGAGTAGCGAACACTGAGTATTTTCTGTCACAGAAACTAGTCAATCATAATGCTGCAGTATATTGCACAATGCTAGACACTTGCATTAATAGAATGATCCGTTTAATGCACTAAATTGATAAACAAATTCGGAGTAATCCACTAGAAATCTAGTTATGTTGACATCACTTACAGCAATAGTCTTTGTAATGTTGTTTGGATCGCTTGAATCTTGAAATGGATAAGCTCCAACCAACATTACATATAAGGTGACTCCACATGACCAAACATCTGCAAGCTATAGTTTCAAGAAATGAGTATATACGAGAAACGTTATGGAAAATTTCAGCAAGGAAAGAAGAAAGAAGTAACACCTTCCCATCATATTCTTTCTTTGTTAGGATCTCTGGTGCTACATAAGCAGGTGTCCCTACAGTGGACTTAGGTTGAGAATGAAAGACAGTTGACTGCAACAAGTTTAGCAGTTAAGAATATGTACTTAAACCTTGAATAGCAGCAAGAATTAAGACTTGAGAAAAACATCAGTAACCTTGGAGTACCCAAAATCACATATTTTGACACGTGGTGCAGCACTTCCGTCAAGTAAAGTGTTTTCCAATTTGAGATCTCTATGACAGATTTGCTGCAAGAGAATACCAGAAACATATACTAAGTGCCAAGGAGAACTGAATTAATGAAGTTCACAGAATGAGAAGTATTTGATTCTGTACCATGAAATGGCAGTAGCTGACCCCCGATATCAGTTGTTGAAAGAAGAACCTTGCCTGAGTAAAATATAAACATAAGCAAACACTCAGCTGACTTTAAACTAGAAAACAGTCTGCTCGGAGAAACTGCACTGAGCATTATTATAACAGTAAAATTGCACTTTTACTTTGATATATATGCGTAAAGTTGCTGCCATGTGACCAGGAGATCATGGGTTCGAACCGTGGAGACAACCTCTTGCAGAAATGCAGGATAAGACTGCGTACGATAGACCCTTGTGGTCTGACCCTTCCCCGGGCCCCGGGCGTAGCGGGAGATTAGTGCACCGGGCTGCCCTTTACTTTGATATATATGCATAAACACATGACAGTAATAAACTTATAACACAGCAACGGACACTTCTATTCCTAAAGCATACTTTGTGGTTTCAACTTAAAAGATGGCATTCTTGGAAGATAAGAATTTAGTTTCACTCATTAACGGACCAATGACTTGAGGCTGTTTACTGTTCTGCCTCTAACCAACAATGTAAAAAGCATATTACCCGGTGGATCTCCCACATCAAAGGACCATATGAATGCCATAGTAGGCCACTACTGTGCCATGAATTCATTACATTGGTGATAAAATTAATAGAGCTGCGAGCAATATACAGTTTCATCGTTCTAGTCATGACTAATTGCAGGAACTGGTATAAGCATCATTTTTTTGAACAAGTGGTACAAGTATCATTCTTACCTCATCTTCATTAAATTTTCCAGCATTACAGATTCTCGCAAAGAGTTCTCCTCCGGAAGCATACTCCATTACTATTGCTAGATGAGTCGGTGTCAGCAAAACCTGTAAGAGTTAAGTCAATTCACGATTAAAAAGCAAACTATAAACAAAATTGAAGAGTTTACTTGCCACTTCACCTACATCATTTACTTTCTTTGATTATTATTTTAAACCAGCACAAAGACTCTGTAACAATCATTGTAATCCCATTAATTGTAAATTGCCATGATTAAATCGCCAAACACAAAATATCTGCAAACCATCAATTCCAGCTACTATAAGGAAAGGTTCGTTGGTTTCAATCTATAAGATGCCGAAGATTGCAGTTAGTTGCGAGCAGCAGGGTTCTTTGGTTGGGAAACAAGTTATCCCATGATTAATTATCCGGGATTGTTATCCCACCTTCCCATAGGATAGAAATAATACTACAGTCCCATACCGCGATTTATCCCAATCAATTGTGGGTTAAACTCGTCTCAAATTTAATTCCGGAATTAATTATCCCTTATCCCTCGTACCAAACGAGCTCTAAGTATCTTGTTACTACCATTAACAATTTACCAACGAAATCATCTGTTCCGATAATTAAATTTCATCACCACTTCTGATCATTAAGAAAAGGAGTTGATGCCATTTAAGAAACATGATCACATGGCTAAGAAAACAACTAAAAAGAGTTCCTTATAAGCCTCGATGGAAGCAATATTCAGTATCCCCATTGGAATCAACGCAAATAACAGAATAAATAAAAAAGAAAGATTCTTTCTTACAGTAAGAAGGAGAGCATACACACCTCTTTAAATCTGACTATATTTGGATGTTTCAATGATCTATGATTCATAATTTCCCTTTGAACGTGTTCATCTATCTGCAACCTCAAAATAAAAACATTTGATCAACACCAAGAACATATATTTACAAATACTTTAATGAAAAATCAAAATATATAACCGAATATGAAGTAAAAGTATCAAATTTAAGGTGGGAAAAAAAAAACCTTTTGACCTCTTTCAATAAACTTGACAGCAAAGAGCTCTTTGGTTTTCTTGTCACTAACAAGCTTGGCTACCCCAAAATTACCAGAACCCAACTCCTTTACTATCTCATAACGCTCCATAATCAAGGAAAAAAATATAAAATTTAAAAAGGGAAAAAGGGGTTTAATCTCAAATTGTTCAGAATTCAGAAAAAATCTCTCTTTTTTCTCAAAAGTCTTGCGTATATTGACTTACTGAATTGATAATATAAATATTCAAAGGTAAGAGAAAAGGGGTTCAAAATTTTCATAAATTAACTACTTTTGTTATCACTATCAGTATCAGCTCAGTGGGTAAGAAAGAGAAGCCTGTTTAGTAAGATATTTATTTACTTAATTACTGGGGTTAAAGGTTTGAGTTTCGGACATTGAAGTGAAAGAGAGAGAGAGAGAGAGAAGAATTTGGATAGACACGTATAATGAAACGAAGTATAGAATAAAGTAAGTATATGACAAGACAACTTTCTTGTCTTGTCGGTAATATTTGCAGGAAAGTTGCTACTAATTGTGATTTTGGTAGGTCAATAATTCTTCATATGTAAATGTAGAAAAAACAACACCAGGTGTTAGATGTCGGCTAAGAAAGGAGATGAGGTGGTGATGAATTAGGAAAATGTAGAGTAAGGTTAAGAAATAAAAAACGAGCATGTGAGCCGTGCATGCTATTTATTCGGACGGCTAGAATAAAACGAGATCGATCGATGAAGCGTACGGATTTAATCTTAGCTCACTAACGGTTTGGGCCACCTGAAGAGCTTATAACCGATTTGGGCCTAGATTCTTATATAAGTAAAAATTGCACGAGGTGCCCTATTTGGTCGCCCCCATTTAACTTATACCTATTTTTTTAAAATATTTTAACTTGTACCCACTTTTTAAACAACTTCAGCCCCCTTTCTCATCCTCCTTCTCCTCCTTCGTTTTCTTCTTCTTCTTCTTCTTTCTTCTACTGTTGTTGGTGCTGTAATGAAACTTTAGTTCATGGGATGATTGCCATAAGTATGTTTATCAGATTATTTAAAAATAAATTATAAATAATTACGTAAGTTAGTAAACAATAATTTGTGAATATTTTCACGTAATTCTGTTCTTTTCACGTTTGTTGTTTCCAAAATTTATGATTTAGATATTGTTGGCAATCAGATTATTTTATAGTAGTAATACACTATGAAAGAATAAGATGATTATTTATCTAGTATGTTAGAAAGCTTTTTCAAAAACTTCATCTTATATAGTGCTGAAGTTTTACAAATGAACTAAATAACTTCAGCATCTTCTGCTGAAATTTTTGAAAAAGCTTTATGACAAAACTAATGAATCCAGGAGACAAAAAACTTCAGCTTAATAGTGCTGAAGTTTTTACAAATGAACTAATAACTTCAGCATCTTATCTAGGACAAAAAAACTTCAGCCCCGTCTACTAGAATGCTGAAGTTTTGCGTGATTGCCTTTGCTACTTCAGCCCCGTATGCTGAAGTTATGCGAAAAAGTGGGTACGCTTGCAAATTTTTTTACAAAGCGGGCACAAATTAAAACGTGACCCAAAAAGCGGGTATAGATGCAAATCTCTCATCCCATTGTTTTACATTATAACTTGTAGCCAAAAACAAATAACATATGCTAACCACCAAATATTTTTTGAGCGGCCCTTTGTCCCTTCTTCGCTCTCTAGTTCTTCATGTAAAACTCAACAAAAACTAATCTTCACCTCCTAAAATATGAAATCTAATTGTTAAGACTCGCAAGCAGTTGGCGAACTAAAAATACAAATAGGTTTTTCTCCGAAGGGGTAAAAGTTTGCTTCTTTGCTCTTTTCTCTGTTCAGTTCAATGTTGGGTTTCTTCTTCTACTCTTTTTATTGAGGTATTTCTTCAATTTCGCTAGTTGAATAATTAGTCTTTCTTTGTTTTTCATGGGTCTTCTTTTTTTAATGGGTTTACCGACAGATCTACGTATTTTGTGCTTGATTCTTTGGGTTTGGCTCATGATATGGTGGGTTCTTATCTTGGCCAGTGAGTTTTGAATAAAAGAAAATTTGTGTTTGGTCTGGTCTGTTTAGGGTTGGTTATGCTTGAACTTGGGTGTTAGGAACAAGGATGGTAAGGAAATATTTCTTAAATCTGGAAATGAAATAAATTTTCTGTTTTAAATTGGAATTAATTTGTCTTTTGAAATGCTTTTGTTCCGAAAATATTCTTTCTTTTAAATCTCCAAAACAAAGGAAAGCATTTCACTATCAATACCTAACATAGAAAAATTAAAGGGCCTAGAACTCTTCCTCATCGGCGACCTTAGACATTGCCGATCACTATCAACACCTACAAATCTCTTTTTCTTTTTTTTTTTTTTGCTCACCGAAAATGACCCAAAGACTAAAAAATTCTCACGGTTAAAATTGTATAATCAATGTATATATATTTTATAGTTAGTGTATACTTTATAAAAACTCAAAGTGTATACATATACATAAATTATACAAAAGATACACTAAATATGAATTTATTGTAAATGAGACACGCTAATTATTCATCTCATATACAAAGACCTTTAGAATCCATGGCAGCAATAACCACCTGCACAGATACACTTCACCCTTCACTTCTTCACAGCAAATGCACATAAATTCATCCCAAAAGAATCATGCCGTTTCAACCTCCAAAATTAGGGGTGTGTATTCGATTTATCGATTATTTTGACCCTTATCGATTACCGATTTGTACATATGCTTATCGTTATCGTTTCAATAAGGTTTCGATTTTTTCGATTTATCGATTTTTGGGGCTTATCGATTCGGTTATCGATTACGCCAATAAAAAAATTTGCGGGATTCCACGGAAAGTATATGACTATAAATCTAGATAGGTTGCTTCCAATAGACCCTCGGCTCAGAAAATTAAACTACATTAATGGTGCAAAATGTCTATACACTCTTGATAAATACTTATTTAAATTCAAATAGAAAATTAGTGTAACTGTTTTAGAAGTGTTCTGTTTTCTTGGCATTCAACACGTGTCAACTTCCTTCGAGTGTTGCCACTCGAATCTACATACATGGGTCAACCTTGTCCGTCTTCGTAGCATTCGTTCCTAGCTCAGTCATGTCATCCTCTTTAGCCATGTTCATCCTCTTCACTACTTGAGGCTTTCAGCCACAGTATTGCAAAGCAAAAAGGAAAGACATTTGCAAAATGAGTTTTCGAGAAGATTCCGTAAGCTCTGCGGAGGGGTTGCTTCGAAAGCCATTATTGCCACCAAAAGGGAAAGACATTGCGCGGACGAGTTTTAGAGATGATTCAGCTAGCTCTGACGAAGGGCTTATTAGGAAGCCACTGTTGCATACTGGAAGTTGGTATCGAATGGGCTCAAGACAATCCAGCAATAGCATGATGGAATCATCGGCCCAAATATTAGTGTTTCCAGAAAAGGCCGTCTATGAACTGCATTTTTTAGTATATCTTATCGGTTTATCGATAAACCGATAACCGAAGAGGACGAAATCGAAATCGATAACTCGATAAGGAATGTCACACTTCCCTTATTACATATCTACCCCGAAGGATAATGTATAAGGGAGTTTTTTCATTTAAAGTGACATTATTCGAAATGGGATGATTTATTTATTTTTAGAGTCGCCACTTGGGATAGGATTGACTTTTGGTGTCCCAAGTCACCGATTTAACTTGAATCCCAAATCGAGGAAAATTTCGACTTCCCAGTTGGAGTCTGCGAACCAGAAATTCTGAATAAGAAATTCTGTTGACCCGAGGGAAGGTGTTAGGCACCCCCGGATCCCGTGGTTCTAGCATGGTCGCTTACTTTATTATAAATGGCTAAAACCTGATTTTTATACATGTCATCCTATAGTGTAAATTTTAGAATTATTTACCGCTTTTAGTTAAATTTTTTAAGAAAGTGAACGTCGTTTAAAAACGTGTTTTTGGATCACGTCACATGAAATGCACCCGGATCCTCGACACATTTCTATCCAACGTTTTGGGATTTGGATTTGGGTCGCATGAAATGCACACCCGTATTTAGGAAGGTAAATTATTAAAAGCGTGCCTAAAGCAGCTAACGTGTTATTAACTTCGCGGGAGGCCGTGAAAATTCGCTAAACGGCACGTCCCGAATTCTAAGTATTTTATTATAAGCATTTAAAGAGGGCCCCGCAATTTATGCATTTTTGTTTTACGGGACGCACCTCATTTATTTTAAAAGATATCCTAAAGCAAACTATGATTTTCTATTGAATTTGTCTCTAACAAGGCCTAATTAATTAGCATTATTAATTGCTAATATTTAAAGTAATCAAGGAATTTGGGCCTCAAGTTCAAGTCCATACTTGAACAAGAGGAAAACCTCTTAATTCACGTATGCTACTTAACGAGGAGGCCCAAAACCATGTTACCAAATTAATTCTATGATGTTAATATAAGCCCCCACCTTCAGCATTTTTCGGGCTTCAACAATTAGCCCAATTCCTATGATATGAGGCTGCCCTGCGATTTGGGCTCATTATTGAAGGACCTAAGCCCAGGTGGTATTTTTGCACAAATTTCAGCTATGAAGCTGAACACTAATTATTTAGGCCTTGCGTTTGAGCCCAGAAACAAAGTTTAACTTGATGCAAAATCCGATGTTGATCCAGGATCAGTTATTGAATTTAACAACTAACAATGCTACAGCTATTTTAAACTGTTTGTTAAAACTTCTATTTTTGCTGGTTTAACATTCAAATCCGTCCAAGGTTATATATAGATCAAATTTTAAAGACTAGAATTATAAGCTAACATCTAAGCTCACAGATGAAATGTGATTCTTCATTGGAATGTGATTCAACAACAGACTTATGCACATACTATTTTATTGAAACGTGATTCTTCATTTTTATGAATCAAACATGCTGAAACTCATATTTAAATCTAACATTTAAGCTAACAGACTTACGCACATGCTATCTAATTAAACATGAGGATCCAAGCAACCTATTATCACTGGACAACTGCCGTTCATTCTACTAAAATTCAAAATGATCCAAAACAGCTCAAAACAGTCCAAATAGTCCTAATTATACAAATTGTCCTAGTTAATCCCAGTATGTACTGGTTCACATAAATTTTGCAACTAAATATTGAAACTAGTCATGGCTATGGGAAAATCGAAATGAAGCACCAAATATTCTTCATCATTTATTCCGCAAGTAGCTTATACACATTGCCCTAAACCTCCGGATCATAGGATACTAGAAAGTGTACCTGGAATCAAGGAAAAAATGAAAGAAGAAGGCAGGATCAGCAATGTTTAGCAGCAATGCAATACAGAAATCTACAGCTCGAGTTCCAAAAATAGATTCAGTAGCCTAGGACCAATTCTAACCAGCAAAACCACTCAAAATAACTCAAATAAACCCAAACGAACTCAAATCAACCATGAAACTTCAGGAACACCTTCAGCAATCAAACCCTGAGCTAGAAGATGCAAGACAACCACTGAAACTTCGAAATTGTCCTGAGAATTTCAATGGAACAATGTTTTTGAAGTTTTGTATTGCCTTTTTCTTTTTGTTTTTGGGTTTTGTAAGTAAGTCTAAGATCTAAGC